CCTTACACCATAAACACCAATTTGCAGGGCCCAAGAGCCAAATGACTGTTTACTGTGCGCTCCAAGGACTCAAATAAAAAAAAAAGAGAGAGAGAGAGAGATGAGCAAGGAGCCAGCCTATAGCTAAATATTAATTAGCACCTTCTGACTAGTTACTGTCCCAGCTGCCAGGCTGGGCAATGGCAGCTCCTAGCCTGGGGCCCTCCCCAGGGCTTCCATGGTGCCCTGGGCACCCTGCCTGGTCCTCAAAAGTATAGGAGGCATAAGGGGCCCAGACTGAGGATGTTGGAGCCAGAGAAATAGTGCCCCATGCTCACCTCCTCCTGAAAACCCTCCCAGGTGACCCAGTAGGTGGCAAAGGGGCCATTGTCCAACTCTCCAGGATCAAGGTCACTTGGTGGAGTGAGGGGTGGGGCAGGTGGGAATGTCATCTGTTAGCTGCTCCCACTTTATGATGGGACAGGGAGGGATGAAGAGGGGTAGCCTCATCTTCATGAACTCATACCCCAGAGAGTAGCCTCACCCAACAGGCTTCAGTTTACTCATCAGTACCTATGAACAGGAGGGCTGGCAGTGCCCCCAACCAGTGTAGGGAGGGATACCATCCTGTTCCCCTAAGAGCCTTGGATGTCTCTCTAGGAGGTCGTGCATCATCCACACTGAGCTTGGACTCCAGGCAGCACTGAGCGGTGCAAGGCTGGAGGGCAGTGTGGACAGGTCAGGCGTCTAGCCTCTGCTAGGACCTGGAGGCCAAGGAGCTGTTGGAGAGGAGGCTGATGACTACCAGGTCAAGACCTCAGAATGCCCTGCCTTTGGGCATCCCAATCAGAGGGTTTCATGAAGGGAGACAGGGTTCCAATAAGGAAATGGATGGCAGATAGGAGGGTTGTGGGGCCTGGGCCAGGGAGTCTACTGTAAGGGAGAGTCCAAGGAGTGTGGCCACCCAGGCCATAGGGCAAACACCAGGATGGGCTGTGTTCCCCAGACCAGAGCCCAGGGTGAGGCTGTTTCCCCCAGACCTCAGGGCAGGGCCATGTCCCCCAGACCAGACCCTAGAGCCCCTAGGGGCAAAGTTCAGTCAAGCAGGGTCTTGATACCCACCTACCCATCCAGGCTCTGCTTTGGGGGGCAGGGGCCTTCAACATTTGGGGTAGAGACTGGGCATAGAGTCCTACTGCCCTCAGTTCCCAGCCCTGGGGAGGAGGTGGGGGGTGCTCAGAGTGTCCCTGAAGGGAGGAAACTGAGGCTCCAGAACCAAGAAAGTGGAGGCCAGAGGAGGGGCCCACATCCCTCCAGGACTTCAAAGCCCTTGCTTGGGGAGTGTGAGATTTGCAGGGGCGGGGCCAGGGGCACCCTGGGGCAGGGTGGGGGCCTACCACCTCCGGGGCCTTTAATATGGTTATTCCTCTCCTGTCTCAACTACCTGCGAACAGGCCCACCAGGCCCATTTCCTCCCTCCTAGGGCGGGCAGGACAGGCTGTAAACTCCATGGAGAAGTGCCTTCAGAGGCCACAGGCTTCCCAGCTCTGCCCTCCCTTTGAGTGCGGGTTAAGGGGCTGGCTGGGGGCTGGGCAGGGGTTCATAGGGCCATGCAGATAGATCTTGGCAGGTGAGAGGGTAGCCAGCTAGGCTCTAGCAGTGGCTCTGGATAGAACATTCCACATAAACAAAAGGCAGGAGCAGAGAGGCCCTGGGGAAACACCCCCTCATCCCACTTCCTCTTGCACTGGAGGGAAACTGAGGCTGGGAGAGAGTTGAGGGCTGAGAGGTGAGAGTTAAGGGTTTCCCCTCCTCATTCACATAGGCACTCCCCAGACCCCTTGGGGCCTGTCCTGTGGCTCCATGGGCCTGGGTGCCCCATCCTGGACCTTTTCTGGTGGAGTTCTGTCTCTCTCCACCCTGGAGCGATGCTGGCAGGGATGGTGGGCTTGCCTCGTAGGTCAGCACTCTCCTGGTGCCTCACCTCGTGGAGAGCTGAGACCATCTTCACATTGGTCCTGCTCCCTGGCCTGAAGCTGGGCCTCAAGACCCAGCACCCAGAGGCCAGAGTGGGTCTCTTACATGCTGTGTCCTCAGGCCAATGCCATCTCCTCTCTGGGCCCTGGCCAGACAGAGCCTGTATGTTAGGGGTTTGCAGTCTTGTGACTCAGAGGTGTAGAGACCAGACAGGCAGAACCCCCAGGGTGGTCCCATCTTGTCTCTTTTCATAGGCCAGCCCCACCCATGCCTAGGCTGCCTCTTTGACCCTTTCATCTGTGGAGCCCCTGGCCCCTAGTTCACAGCAGGTGCCAATTAGGGTGGCTCCTGCCCAGCCCCTGACTCAGGTGCTGCATGTCTGTGCTGTCTGCACTGTGGACACACCCACGGTTGGCTCTCGGGAGCACCTGTCACCCCCACCTACAGGGCCTGACCCCTGTGTAGAGTGTCTCATCAGCTATTGCCTAGGATGGCCTGGTGACCTGAGAAAGCTGGGCTTCCTGTTACTGGTGACTCACCCCATGGGACAGATTACCATCAGTGCTCCAGCCCCCTGCCCTGGGCACTTATCTGGTTCTCTGTTTATAGAGCAGCCCATCTGGCCCTGGCTGGCCTCTTAGAGCCCCAGTCGGGAATCTCTGGTGGTCCCCTGTGGCCCCAGAGCAATGGATGACCCAGCCTGGGGTAGGCCTATTGAGGGAGCAGCAGCCCTGAGCCACTGAGGCCATGGGCTTGATGTGGGACATGGGAGCGCCAGTCCACAAGGGCCAGGGAGGGATACTAGGAACCTGGAAACTTGGGCCTGTTCCCTGTCTTTTTGCCCTACTGGGCCCCATTTTGCTCTGTCTTCAGTGGCTTGGAGCCTCCAGCAAGGACGCTGTTGCCATAAGAAATGGGGGGCAGTTGGGAGAGGGTATCCCCCAGGTCCTGTCTTGATCATCAGGGGCATGACCTCCTAGCACCAGGCTTCCTCTTGCCTCCCTCACTCTGATGGGCACCTACTCCATCCACCAGGCATCTCCGCTCACCCACCTACAGCTTTCTTCTAGCATAGGACTTGGTCGGGACCGGATATCCATGCTGGCACCCTGCCTCTGCAACCCCCATTCAGCCCTGTGTCTGCACAGTCCCATCCAGAACTCCCCTCCTTGCCTCTGCACACCCCCATCCAGGACCCCCCTTCCCTGCCTCTGCACTCCCCTGTCCAGGACTCCCCTGCCCGCATCTGCATACCCCTGTCCGGGACCCCTCTCCCTCTGTCTGCACACCTCTGTCCACGACCCCCCCGCCCTGCCTCTGCACACCCCTATCCAGGAATAGGGCTAGGTCGGAGTCTGTACCCAAGGGCTATGGTGGGGAGCAGAGGCAGTGGGTGGCAAAGCTGAAGGGCTGAGTGGAGTCAGTAAAGGTGCATGTTCCCAGAGCAGAGGCTGGCCTATCCCAAGATATGGGGGCTCTGCTGGGCTCCCTTTGGAAAAAACTGGAGTAGTGGTGAGTAGCATGGGCAGGTCCTGCTCCCCAAAGCCATGTAGATCCCTCCCTCTTCCCTCCTAACCTCCTGCCCTGCATCTGCACACCCTGTCCAGGACCCTCTGCGGAGCCAGCAGTTGCTCTCTGTCAGCAGAGGATGGCCCTTACTTCCTGGGCCCTTGGTGGCCCTGATGTTTCAGTGGCAGTAGTATTGTGCCCAAGTGGGCCCTGGTCAAGAGTATGTGTTGGGCATAGAGCTGACCTGGGGCAGGTATGGGCTCCTAGGAAGGGGCTAGGTTGGAGTCTGTACCCAGGGGCCATGGTGGGGAGCAGAGGCAGTGGGTGGCAAAGTTGAAGGGCTGAGTGGAGTCAGTAGAGGTGCATGTCCCCAGAGCAGAGACTGGCCTACCCCAAGATGTGGGGGCTCTGCTGGGCTCCTCTTGGAAAAAACTGGAGTAGTAGTGAGTAGCATGGGCAGGCCCTGCTCCCCAAAGCCATGTAGACCCCTCCCTCCTCCCTCCTAACCTCACAAATGGCTGCATTGGGTCCCCTCTCTCCACCATCAGCTGGCAGGGATTTCCTTGTGAGGTCTCCTGCACCCCCTCCCACCTTCCTTCCTTGCAGCAAATGGCCTACCTAGAGCCTGAGCTTCGAGAGGGTGGGGGCTGGGCCTCCTGCCCTCAGCTTCTCCTTTATGCTTCTCACCCTCCACCTGTCCCAGCCTGTCCACCCCCACCCTCCTCAGCTTTCTCCCTCCCTTTGAGTCTGGTTCAACAGGTGGTAGCTGGGGGTTGGGGGTGTGCTCAGAAGGGCAGAGAGAGGTGCAAAGACTCTGTACCCAGCTTGGAGAAGCAAAAGTGTAGCCTTGGGAAAGCCCCCTGCCTCCTTCCTGGAGCCTCTGGAAGGCCCCACCCAGCACTGCTCTGCATAGGCCCAGTGAGGGTGGACATGGGCAACTTCCAGGCCTCAGCTGGGCGAACCTCTGTTTGAGGGACTGTCTCTTGCCTCCCAGACAGGTTTGGTTCCTGGAGCACCCTGTGGTGGGCCACAGTGGGGACCCCACACAGGGGCCATGTCTCCAAACCCAGAGGGCATGGCCATGTAGCCAGCACTGGAATGTAAGCTGAGTGTAATGCACATTTGGGGAAGTGGCTTCTGGCTGACTTGGTGGCTGGCCCACTGCTCCACTAACTTTCTCATGGGGCCTCCACCCTGGTCACTGCATGGCACGACCCCTGCAGCAGGCAGGCTTCTTCCTCCCTGCACCTCACTGGAGCCTTCTGCCTGGGTCTAGTTCCCCTGCCCCAGACTAGGCTGTGTCCTCTTTTCCTTGGCACGGCAGTCCCTCTTTCTTTCTTCTGGAATTCTGGCCTCTGGAGGCCACCTCCAAGACCCCAGCCATCTCTGAGGTGCACGCCAACCGCCTCCTCCCCTGGTGCACGGATGTCTCCTGTCCCAGAGGTCACCACCAATCCAACCTCCATGCTTTGCCAACCCACCACCAGAAAGCCAGCACAATCCACAGCATTTGGTTGTTTCTGCTTTTTGGGTTTTTTTTTCTTCTGTCTTTTACTTCCCCATTGTTTGAAACTCACAACTATGACTAAAATAATTTCTTTCACAGAAAGAAAAGGGAAAAAATAACAACACATCTGTTTGATTAGCTCCAGTGTATGGTGGATATAGCAGCATCAGAAATAAAATTAAAACCAAAAATGCAAAATTCAAGGCAGAGGAAGGTCTTGTCCTGGGAGGCGTGCAGGTCATCCCTGTCTGGCTGGTGTCCTCCCCCTGCCTGGAGACTGGGGGACATTTCACAGTGGCAGAGTCTGAGTGAGAAGAGGCCTGGCCTGGAAATTGTCTGAGGGGTCCAGAGGCCAGTCCTTCTTGGGCTGGGTGAATTAGAAGGTGAGGGGGGCTGAGCAGCCAGCCACATGCTCCAGGACAGTGGCCAGTGTGGCAAGTCTGGCACACCATAGCTGCAGCAGGAGACCCAGGGGATCAGTCCTAACCACCAAGGCTGGGAGGGGAGACCACTTTTCTGGGAGCTGTGGCTCCTCCTACCAAAACCTCCCAGACAACCCAACCCTGCCCCAAATGAGCCTCTCAGCAGGATGATGGAGCTGGGGTGGTGTAGGCCGGCAGCCCTTGGGGAGACGTGGGGTATGGGCTATGGATGAAGAAGGTGGGGGAGGAGCTGAGGCGAAGAGGGAGGCAGGGCAGGGCAGGAGGCTATGCTCCTCTCTTGTGGATGGGATGGGGTACAGGTGAGAGACCTGAGGAAGGAAGATGGAAGGGCTCCACAGTGGGATGTTCCATCCAAGGCCTGGGCTACAGCAGTAACAGTCACTGGGAAGAGCGCCTGGATGTCTGATGCTCCACACATGACAGCCAGGGCAGAACCAGGTTTCAGAGCCCAGCCTCCTGCTCGTCTCTGCCGCTAGGCCCCTCTTTCCCCCAGACCCAACTGGTTCTTGGGGCTCTGCACGGCGTGGGCTCTCTCCGTTGGGTTCTTTATTGGGAACACTGGCAGCTGCCAAGCCTCGGCGCGGGAGCCGGAACCTTTCCAGAGCACCAGATTTGGAGGGGGCCTGGTCCCCAGACTTCAGCGAAAAAGGTTGGGGGACAGGGGTCTTGGACGCTGTTCTGTCAGGAGAGCTTCTCTACCCAAAGGAGGTGGGTGGACGGAACCTTGCAGGTGGGCTGTGTTGGAGGAGGTGGCGGGGCGGAATCCCCAGCGTGGGAGTGAGGTTCCCAGAGAAGACCACGCCCCCATCCCAAAGCCTCACCCGCGGAGCCCCGCCCCACCCCCGGAGGAGCTCGGAACCCATCGGGAAGAACCGCACCCCGCTTCGGAGCCGCATACCTGCTCTATCGGAGGACCTGCCCCACCCGGAGGAGCCCCGCCCCGCCCGGGCGCGCCGCTACTTGCAGGTGTGCACATCGTAGACGCGCGCGCACTCCTGGCAGCTCACGTAGCAGCACCAGTGAAAGACGCACAGGCACTTCTCCCGGCGCCGCTCGGCCCGTGCGTTGTGGCCCCGGCCGCAGCACAGCAGGTCGCAGCCGTCGATGCCGGGCGAGCTCACGTTGCAGGTGCGGTCGCGCGTGCCAAAGGAGCCGGTCTCGGGGTTGGGCTCGCAGAAGTTGGGCGAGGCCTCGTAGTAGACCAGATCGCGCTCCGTGGGCACTTTGAAGTAGGTGTAGCGCGGCCGCAGCGTCTCCACCCAGCCGCGCGACTCGCGGTGCTTCTCCACAACCATCTCGGAGGCGCTGTCGTACTTGTCCTTAAGGAAGTCGCCGATGGCGCGGAAGTCGGGCTGCGACCACCAGCAGGTCTTCACCTCGCAGCTGCCCGACAGCCCGTGGCACTTGCACTTGAGGTGCATGTGACTTGCGATGGCCTGCAGGAGCGCGGGCAGGTGGCGTCAGGGCCCGAGCTCAGCAGCCCAGGTGCGTCTGTGCGGGACAACCTCCCATGACCCGGCTCCTTGCCTGCAGCCCCCGCCCCCAAGCTCACCAGGCAAACCCAGCCCACCTGCCTGCTCCATAAAGCACCTGGGGCTCCCAGGAGGAGCAGGTGCCCTCTCCGTGGGCCTGCAGTGCCATTCCCTTCCTTGTGCCTCCTGTGGCCGACCCGAGCGAGATCCACCCCCCCTGGGGGGGGCGGGGCAGGGCCTGGAAGCCTTCCTGCTCTCTCCTAGGCTGGGCCTAATTCTTGAGCATCTATGACAGAGTGAAGGAAGGCCCGGGCTGTAACATGATGATGTAAGTGCAGGCATGAACCCAAGCCCGAGGCCCAGAGGTGTATGTGGGCTGGTGGCAAGGCTGGGGGCTATCTGAGCGTGGGTAATGGGGGTGGCTTGCATTGGGCACCTTCAGGGCCCAGGGAGCTGAGTTCTTGGACTGCAGGGGATTGGGAAGAGGAGGAGCGAGGCAGTGCAGGGGACAAAGCTGTGGGGACCTTGGGGGCCCAAAGGTAGTAGAAGGGCCTAGCAGAGTAGTGTGTGTGTTTCTCCCTGTGGGAAGCAGGGAACCTAGGTTCTCTTTCCTTCTCTTTTTGGAAGAAGAGGTGGGGGTAGGTGTCTTAATCAGACCTAAGGTTGCCTTGTCCACTATGGTGGGCACTACCACCCATGAGCCCCTGAGATATGGCTGGCCCAAACTGATTAGTGCTGTGAGTGCAGGCCACACACTGGGTCGCTGTAAGTCCCCTGACTGTACAGGAAGAAGATATAAAATATCTCATGCATGATTTTAATATTGATTGCATTATTGAAATGACAACATTTGGGTATAGTGGGTTAAATAAAATTTAGTATTAAAATGAATGTCAGCTGTTTTCTTTTAAAAATGTGGCTACTAGAAAATTTCTTACACATACATGGCTCCCATTGCACTCCTATTGGATGATGCTGGGCTAAGGCTTCAGGTGGGCTCTGCATCCAGATCCTGCCGCTGCTGCATCCCCATCTCCCTGCTGTTTCAACTCTTCCCTCTCATACTGGCCCTTTCCCTGAGCATCTGTGAGTTGCCCTCACACCAGTTCACTTCTGTCTAATCCTCTTTTGTGGCCAAACTTTTCTAAATAGGAACAGCTGGTTTCCACCCCTGCCTCCTCAGTCTCTTGTTTTAGTTTGACTTTATCAAAGATATATATGTATATACTTTAAAGAACCCAATATTTCCTAAGATGTGTTAAGAAAAACAGGAGCCCTGGCTGGGTAACTCAGTTGGTTAGAGCGTCTTCCCCATACACCAAGTTTGTGGGTTTGACCCCTAGTCAGGGCACATACAAGAATTGACCAATGAGTGCATAAATCAATTTTAAAAAACCCCCACAGGAGTTCTGGGGCCACTCTCACTCAGCACTTTCCTTACTATCCAAGGCAGTGCCATGTGCCTCTCACAAGCCTTGTGTTTGGCATTGTCTCTGGACCTCTCACCCCTGTCCCCCCATCCCTCTGATGCACATTTCCAACCTCTTCCTGACCTAAGAACTAGAGCATACTTCCACTTAGATCAATATTTAGTGCCGATGGTATTGGGATTGTTCAATGCCATATTCAGTTGAGCCATGTGATATGTTACGATTACTTTTCCTTTCCTACAGGATGTTTTGTTGTTGCTTTTTAAATACAAGTATCATGGATTCAGTCTCAAGCTCTCCTTTAACTGTCTAAGTATCTTCTTCAAGACATTGAAACACACCAGGTGTCCTATGGATTTCATCTTTTTGAGAGATCTTCTGGTAAATTTTATGAAATGTGCATGTCTGGAAAGAAATCTTTTCCACTTGAAAAGCTGAAAAAATGGTTTAGCTGGGCATAAACTTCTTGGCTAAAAAATTTTCCCCCACAGAATTCTGAAAGCACTGCTCCATTTTATTCCTGCATTTATGTTGTTCTTGGAAACTCTGACGCCATTCTGACTCCTGATACTTTGCGTGAATTCGACCTTCTGGGCAGGTTGGAGGCCATGCCTGCTGTCAGCTTGGTGTGGGTCTCCCTTTCTTGTGTCAGTCACTCCTGGGCCTGTGTGGTCAGAGACCTGTGATCCCCAGTCCTGGAACCTTCCTGCCTTATTTTTGGGCCAACTTCCTCCTCTTCATGTTCACCACTGTCTCTGTTGGATGGAGCCTCCATATTTTCTATTCTTTCCTATTTTCCATCTCTTTGTCTTTTTTCCTCTGCTTTGTGGAAAAGTGTCTCATCTATCTTCCAACCTTTCTGCTGAGAGTTTTGTTTCTGCTGTCTTATTTTGAATTTCTAAGAGCTCTTTACAACACCCCCTCCCCCAATGTTCTCTTAAATTAACATTCTGTTCCAATTTCATGGGTACAGTGTGTCCTTGTATCTCTCTGGAACTGGGATAGTTTTTGAAGTTATCATCTCTCTTTACAACATCTCCTTTCCATAAGTTTGGATCTTGTTTCTTTGTTTTGGTCCTTACCTTTGTGATTGCTGGAGGCTTCCTTGGGTGTCTGACAGTCCTTGGTTGTCTGCTCATATTTAAAAATGGGGCACTAAAAATCTTGTTGGAAGCTCCCGTGCCTGGAAGGGACTCGCCAACTTGAGCCCTTGCCCCAGAGTGACCTGGCCGCATTGTTTCATTGGAGAAGTTAAGTCCCTTCCTTCTCCTGGGTTCATCTGATTTCTAGGGCAGAACCTTCCAATCTTCTGCCTGGCAGTGATCAAGCTTCACTGCAGCATTAGGAGATTAGGAAGAGAAATGTGTACATAGATAGACTATTTTCATTGGGGTGGCCTCACCCTTAGTTGTGCTTGGAGCTCCACAGTCTGGACACCCCCTGCTTTACCCTTTTTAGAGAAAAAGTCTGCAAATTTCTGGTAAGGGAGGGGCATTGCCTGGGTGCAAGGAGTTGGACAGAAGAGCTGGTGGGTTAAAAAGTGCTTTTAACATAGACTTTCAACCAGTCTTCCTGTTTTCAGCCCCATATTTACCTCTGCTTTTAAAGATACCTGATACTAGTAATTCCTGGGTTGTTTCTCAGATTTCTCCTCTACTGGCTTAAGACTCAGCTTTCTTGGGTCTACTAAGACAGTGAGTATTTGTCTATCTGATTTTAGCTTTCAAAATTTTGTTGCCATCTTCACTTCTTCTGTGTTTCACATTCTCAAGAATCTTTATGTTAAAACTCATTCCTTGTCATTTTAGTGGGTATCTGGGAGGGTGCAGAGGGAAACCCTTGTGTTTGCTTTGTTATCTTTAACTGGAAGTCCTTATTCATTCTTCAGTTCTACAATTTCTGTATGATTCTTTCCCAAATCTAGTATATTATTTTTATAGTTTCCAGTTCCCTGCTGAAATGTTCAACCTTGCATTTTAGCTTTATGAATGTGAGTGAGCATATTTTTTTATAATCTGCGCCTAATCATTCTAGTATTTAGAGTCCTGTTTCTGTTGTGTGTGTTTTTTCTCCTGATTAACAACCTATTCATTGTTTTCAACAGCTCATATGACAGTTACCTTTATTTATGTGTTGAACATTGTGTTTGAAAACTTGTTTGTAGCCCGGCCGGGCGTGGCTCAGCAGTTGAGTGTCGACCTAGGATCCAGGCGATCAGGGTTCGATTCCTGGTCAGGGCACATGCCCGGGTTTCGGGCTCGATCCCCAGCATGGGGCCTGCAGGAGGCAGCCAATCAATGACTCTCATCATTGGTGTTTCTATCTCTCTCTCTCCCTCTCCTTTCCTCTCTCTGAAATCAATAAAGATATATTTTTAAAAAAAAGAAAAAGAAAAATTATGTGTAGAAACAATTTTCAGCCTATCTCACGGTTATTCTCCTCCAAAGAGGATTTGTGTGCTTTTTCCAAGTGTGTGGGGATACCAGCCTTTGGGATCCCCTTAATTCATTCTCACGTCTTGAGATTTTTTTTTTTTAAGCCTACACATGTGCACAATAGCTGGTGTGTTTCTGGTTTACTTTTACTCCCTAGGGTCCTGAACTGGGCAGTGATTTCCTAGAGAGACCACCTTTGGTGGGTCCCTTAGCTCTGTGAGGTTGAGGGAAGTGCAACTCGGTGTATGTACTTTCTTCCGCATCAACAAATAATCCCTGGACAAAAGCTACCCCAGGCACCAGGCTCAGATTCCTGTCTTTTGGACCTGGGACTGCTAATTCCTCACTCTATGGTTATTTGACACTTAAAAATCACTTTATGGAAGTGTATGATACAAAAATGTATATATGTCATAATCTAAAACATGACATTTCACAAATCACCAATGCCTCAGAAACTCCCATCATGCTCTTTTCCAGTGGTTGTCCTCCCTCTGTTCAGGGCACTGATTCTGTCAGCATTTCCTTCATGACTAATGATATTGAGCACCTTTCCATATATTTACTGGCCATTTCTATATTTTCTTTTGTGAAGTGGCTTTCCATTTTTTAGCCAACTTTTCTATTGGGTTATCTGTCTTTTAAAAAAATGAATTTGTAGAATTCTTCTTATATCATAGCTTTCATATATATTTGGAGATACATTATTTCCTCCAGTGTGGGTTGTGTTTTCAGTTTCATGGTGGTATCTTTTATGAATAGGCATTCTTAATATAAATACAGTCCATATTATTATATTTTTCTTTGGCCTATTTAAGAAATCTTTTCCTACCCCAAAGATGTCTCCTATGTTTTCTTCTAAGCATTTTTGTTTTGTTTGACCTTTCCGATCTGAGTTTGTAATTAATTGTATATATGGTGTGAGGCAGGGGTCAAGATTATTTTTTTCCAGACTGTGATTCAATTGACTGAGCACCATTTATTGAAAAGCCCATTTCCCCTTCTGCACTGCCATTATCTTCCCTGTGATAAATCAGGTGACCATATACAGGTGAGCATTCTTTACTTTTAACAGGGTGCCTTTTATATGCTATCCTGCACTTACACTTGTCTTCAACAGGAAAATGAGTCTGACTCACCTAGACCCCATTGTTGGAAGTTGAATGTCCCTGTTCACTCTTCAGCCCTCTGTAATCCCCTAGTTCCACTGGGCAAAGCCAGTGCCATTTTTGTGTTTCTAAATCTACCGGACACCTGTAGGTTCTTACCTGGCCACTTGTTATCAGCAGTCAGTCCTCTATCAGTTTCCCACTGAACTTCTGACCCAGTCCTTTTTGCAGGGCTCACAAAGCCCTAAAAACTTGATCCACCAGCCTCTCCACATCCCCCTGCCCCCCAATTCTCTTTCTCCTTCTGTTCTCCATATTCTACCCAGACTAACTCATGGTGCAGTCTCACCTCTGGGCTGCCTGGAGGGTCTCCTGGCCTCCCCCCACCTAGATAACTGCCATTAGCCTGCATTTATCCACTCACCACCCTTGACAGCAGAAGTCTTTTTTTTTGAGACTCCACCCTGGGTCCGGACCCTCCACTGTGCCAGGTAACCTTGTGTATATCATTTCCTCATCACAGAATTTCCTAGACTGTGCTGTAGCCACCTGGCTGTCTCTCTTTGGCTGTGTAGGAGCTCCTGCAAGGCAGACCTTTATCCTATCCCTCCTTTCTTGTGACCCCAACTCCAGAGGTGGCCCTGCCATTCTGTGGGAATACCCTAGACACCTGTGGAGCAACTGGACAGTGAGTGCTGTGTTTCAGAGGGCCCTGGGCAGGAGGTGAGAAGACCCTCTAGCCTGGCCACCACAGAGAGCCCTCCTACAGACTTCACCAGGCTACACTCCTCAAGGGATCAGGGGTGTGTTCAGAGGGCCCCCCTGGAACACCCCCAGGGCACAAAGGGCCATGGTCAGAGGCCCCCAACACCCCAGAATGCACAAGGCAGTCAGTGGTCAGAGGCTTCCCAACACTCAGAATGCACAGGGCATGGTCAGAGGGCCCCTGGTGCACCCTCATGACACACAGGGCCATGGTCAAAGACACCCCCCCAACACCCTAGGATACCCAGGGAAGTGGTCAGAGGACCCCCAGATGCATCCCTAGGACACACAGGGTCGTGGACTTACCTGGCGCCCAGCCTCATTGTTGTGGCGGTTCATTGCAGAGCGGGCGTCAGGCCTATTCTCTCTTGCGTCCGCGAACTCCCGAGACACCATCCCACCAAACTCAATGTCCTCGCTGCAGCCACCCCATTTCCATCCGTGGCCCGGTGAGCCCTGGTGACGGCTGCTGCATCCGCAGATGGCAGCGGAGCCCTCGGCGCACGAGCGTGTCACAGCGAAGGCCACGCCGGCTGAGGCTATGGCGTGCACAAAGGCGGACTCTCTGGTGGCTGTGGAGAGAGGCGTGAGGTGGGCAGGGCACAGGGGTGGGGCGGGGCTGGGGGGAAAGGGTGCATGTCCCCAGAGAACCCAAGGAGAAGGGAGAACTTCCCCGAAGAAGGTCCACCGAGGGCCAAGGAACCCAAGAGGTGATGCTGGATGGCACTTGTGGTGGTGGGGAAGTGTAGGGACGTGAGACCCCTGCGTGCTGCTGGATGGAGGGAAATGGGAGCGCCCCTTGGAAGGCGGTTTGGCAGCTTCTAAAAAACATACATGTACTGCCTGACCCGGCCATCACCTCCCAGGTATTTACCCTGCAGGAAGCCCGCCTTGACACAAAGACCAGGAAGCAAATGTCAGGGCCGCTTTATTTGTAACAGCCCCAAACTGGCAGCTCCCAAATGTCTGTGGACAGGTGGAAGGATAACAAACCATGGCATAAGATAAATAAGTCCTGGGATATAATATGCAGGGTGGTGGCTGCATTGCACACCTGAAAGTTGCTAAGAGAGATCTTGTGTTATCACCACACACAAAAAACAGTAACTATGCGAGGTGATGGGTGTTAGCCATACTCCTTGTTGTGTTGTTTCACAATATGCAAATAGCAAATCATCATGTTGTACACCTGAAACGAATACAATCGGTGTATACGTCAATTAAATCTTCATGAAAAACGGTGGCATTTCCATAAAATGGAATTCTATTTAGCAGTAATTGGAGAAAGAGCATGATGCTTCTCAGAATAATCATGGGGACTGAAAAAAGGCCACCCTGACAGCCCCGGATGCAGCACCCCCTAGGCTTCCGGGTGGGGCTTCCAGCAGCCCGAGGACCCCCCCAGGGTGTGGCTCTGGCCCTCATGCCGCTACTGGCGCTGCCACTCCACCTGCACATCTTCCCCCAGACTCCAGGCACTGCAAGGACCACAAAGCACACCTCACCCTGTGCTGGCTCCACGTGCTCAGCCCTGGGGATGCCCAACAGCTGCCCGCCACCTACCCTGGGGCAGTCTCCAGGCCTCTGTTAACCCAGAGGCTGTTATTGTGTCCCTGCACGCAGCCTCTTGCTTCCACACGTAGGAAACTGAGTCAGGGGAAGTGACATTGGTTCTGCAGAGGGGCAGTGGGGGAGGGCTGGAGCTTGGGAAGAAGAAGCTTGTGAGGCAACAGGATCAGACAGGTGTATGCGGGTGTCCAGGGAAGCTCCCTGGACCTTGCTGGGTAGGGGAGGTCTAGCCTGGCCCTGGTAGACAGAACCTTGAATAGCTGGTCTTGAAAGACAGGTAGGAAGCAAACAGAGAGAAAGCAGGGGGCAGGGGCATTCTGCTGAGCTGGCAGGACCAGAGGGAAGCACAGGACATGTGGGGGGCAGCCTGGCATCCCCCAGCAGGACTTTTCTTGAGGGGATGAATGCATTGCCTCCTGGGTATATGTTAAACATTTAGATGGGCTCTGGGTTCAGGATGAGGGGATTGGGCTGCCCTGGGTCCCCTGCTCACCATTCCACAGGCTGGCATATGGAGCACCTGCTGTTTGCCAAGCTCTGCTGGGGGAACAAACAGCAGGGAGCCAGATGGTCTCCTGGAGCTTACCTGCAACTAGCAGGAATTAAAAAACCTGGCAAAAAACCTCTCAGGGCTTTGGAGCCCAGCAGGCCCAGGCTGAATCCTGGCTTGGCTCTGATGGCTGGTGTGCCTTAGGTATCTCTGTTGCCCTCATGTAGGATTTTGCACCCCACCTTCCTTGGCTCTGGCTCCTGTCTCTCCTCAGGTCCTGGGTGGGCAGGAGGGAGAAGGGAGCAGGAGAGATGTGGGAACAGGACTGACCAGGGCACTGGGTGAGTGCCCTGTTGTGTTCCCCCAAGCTCCTCCTGGGCAGAGGCCCCAGGCAGGCCTAGACACTGCTGAGCTCCCAATGGCTATGGGAGAGTAATGGGGGAGGGGTGCTGCTGGCTCCTCACCCCACCACCTCAATGCCCAGGGGGCTTTTGTTCTGGGAGGGACATGGGTAGGTGGGCTCCATCCTGGGGACTGAGCAGAGGTTTCAGGCTGCTTCCAGGTTTATAGCCAAGCACGCGTGCCCTAAACCCCATGCAGATTCACACATCCAGCTTCATTCACATCCACACACACACCTGTTACCGAAAAATGCACATTTCTTCAGATGCCAAGAGGAAGTGCCCTCTGCACTGGTCTCCCACTGGCCATCTGACCCCACTTGTACTTTTGCTTTTGGTGACTCCTTCCATAGATTTGCCAACACTTTCTGACAGCCCTGTGCAAGCCCTGTGCACCCTGTGTCCCTCCTGGGCTCTGACCAGAGCAGGCCTGGACTCTCCCTGCTTTTGGGAAACTCTGGGCCACACTGAAACCCCTAGCTGTAAACCCCAGGCCTCCCACTGCTCTGGCCTCAAGGGCCCAGGCCCATCTTGCTCACCAAGCCCTTCGCCAGGAGTCTAGCTCCCAGTATCTCCCACCAGGACCAGAAGGAGCTCCTGGTTGGAACCCCCACCCTCAGACTCCAGCTTCCTCCCCCATCCATATTACCACACACACAAACACATGGGCACACATACACACAAACACACATACATGAAAAACACACACCCATAAACACTCTTTCACACACAGACACACGGATACAGAGACACACATAAATGTATGCACACACATGCACACATACATGCACACACAGACACATACCCATAGACACTCTCTTACACACACAGAGAGACATACACAAACGCATGCATACACATGTACACATACATGTACACACAGATACATTCATAGACACACACAGACACACACACATAGACATTCACTCTCATATACACATGGCCACACACACATACACACAAACACAATACACATATGCACACACTCATAGATACCCTCACACATAGACACACATGTACACAAACATGCATGGCCACACATGTGTATACACATGTAGACACACAACATACATTCATACACATATATGAACACACACCCATAGACACTCTCTCACATACTCACAGATGCACACACACATACATGCACACACATACACACACATACACAGGCCACTGGTGCAGTGCTTTGTCCAGTGGCCATCTGGTTCTGCCTGGCCCCTTCTTGAGTTCTTGACACTGTCTTTGCTTGACTGAACACAGGCCAACTCCTGCTGTGTGCTGCCCTCCCAGTCCTGCTGGCCACTACCTGGCCTTCAGCCACATTCAGCTACTGTCCCTCCTTTAGGTTTTTTCCAGCTGTTCTAATGCTCATACAGCACCTGCCTTGTACCACTCCCCCATTCTTTGGGGCACAGGACAGGATCCTGCGGCCATGAGGTCTGGGCATGATCTAAGCTTGGCTCCTCAGGCTCCCAGGAACCATAGGAGCTCCCTCCTTCACCCGCTCGGCCTGGAAGCCCCCTGAGGCAGGGACTGTGTCCTGTTCACCTGTTGTTTCCAATCAAGAGCACCAGGTGGTCACACAGATGGTTGTTGAGTGAGGACCTGGTCTGAGGAGAGGGCAGGTGCCCTGGGCAGGGCAGGGAGCTGAGCATGATCTGAGCCCATCTGGGCAGGCTTAGCCTGGGGGGTCTGGCTCTCTGACCCTCCCCACTCAGCTTGTCCTTGAACAGATCCAGGATAGCTCCCCTCATCCTCCCCTTTCTCAAATACCAGCCAGGCAGCTGCCTCCCCAAGACTCATGAAGCCCCTGCCCTGTGTTCCTTAAGCAACACAGGGAATCAGTTCACAGGCAGGCCGGCAGCAGCCTTCTACTGGCCAAAGGCATTTGCGTGAATGAACACCAGTGTGTGCTAAGCACAGACCCCTTCCCCTCCTGTATCTACACGCAGCAGAGCTCCCACCCTCGTTTCATGTTCTCAAGGACTCAGGCTGCCTCCTCCCCACTTCTCAGGCCTTCAGCTCTCAACTCTTCGCTTCCTCCCCTCTCCAGGGCCCAGCCTGATGCCTCCTCTCCCATCGGTGCAGCCTGGGTGAGGGGCTGTTGTTAGGATGGCCTGCAGGGTCCTTGGGGGCCGGCTTTCCTGGCCATCCATCCCAGGGCAGCTCAGGGCACAAGGCTGAGCCAGTATGTCCTGGGCACTCCTGGGCACACAGCCGGTGCCTTTGTCCATTGCCCTTTCTCGTTCTCAGCTGGTTGAGGGCCATGATTGCCCTTCTCAAGGGTCTCCAAGGTCTGAATGTCCTCCCCCAACCCCAGCAGAGCCTGCCTTCCAGCTCAGGGGGCTCAGGGCAGGCTCCTACAGGAGGACCCTGGCTCTGCCTCTGCCTCTTCCCTCTAAGTCAGCCCCTCCCCAAAACTCTCTTCTGGAGATAAGGGGAGAGCAAGCAGGGGCCTTGCCCCACAGCTCTCAACAAGAGCTTGGAGATCCCTGCTTATTGACCTCAGGCAAACAGCCCAGGGTTTCCAGACACACTTGAGGGAAAGGGTGTGTGGGGTGGGGGTGGGGTTTTTTGGGGGCTTCCCCTTGAACTTGGAGGAAAAATAACTCAGTTTTGCCCAGCTCTGTCACCAGCTAGCTGTGCCATCCTGCACACATCCCCCTCGCCCCTCACCACGGGCCTCAATTTCTCCTCCCAGACAAGAGAACCTCTCCTCAGATAAAGTGCTAATGGTGGAAGATGCTATGGAGTAGCCTTCAATTCGCTCATGGAGAAAAGAAGCCTCTGCTTTATGTTTCAGAAAAATGTGACCTGGTTTGTTCTGGCAAAGGAAGTCCATTTTAAAACTGAAGACACAGGCCTGAGCAGTTAGTTCCCCAAGATACTGATCCAGCACCAAGAAAAAACGGCGACTCTGCACTGGAGAAACCAGGCAGGCCCATCTCACCGGAGGGACAGAAGTGGGCATCTCCTGCAATGGGACAGACGCCAAGCACCATGCACCTCCGCAGGAGGTGCCCTGAGGACACCCCATTACTTTCAAGGCATTCTTGCCAAAGATGCATAACGTTTATCTAATGGTGGGAAACCAGAGACCTGAGCAGGCTCC